AATAGGAAATTGTTATCAACAATATCTTATGAAAAGTGACTGAGTTTGGTGGCCCTAGCACAAGCCGTTCGGACGTTATTCGACATCCAAGTTTGCGCGGGCACTTCCCTCCTCCTTTAAATTCTGGATAAATATAAATTGCGCCATTTTTTTTAAAATTTACCGGGGTTGCTTTTGGCAAAACAAGTTTTAGTGGACCCTAATATTCCTTTTTTAAAAGTTATATTACTAAGGTTTAACCCTATCTAGACCTGGGGGGGGGGGTAAAAGTGCCACATAGCGTCTGAAAGGCTAGCGCTAGGATGGCCAAACTTAGTGACTTTTCCTAAAATATTGTTGGCAACAATTCTGTATCATTGGAACAACATAACATAACATGATTTTTGTTGCAACGGGTTTCCAACATTTTTTTCCTAAATTTAGTAATTTTCTTTTCAACAATAGAATTTTATAGGTTTTATGTGCACGTTAAACATGGTTTGTAATATCAATAACATCCCAAATAATTTTATGTAAATATTATCAATAAAAATGCATCACTTTTGCTAATTTGATGACGTTATTGGCCAAAATCTAACATGGGGGACCATGTCATTAAAACAGGTATATACATATTATTTCCCATAAAATTTCACCAATATTTCGATTTCGTTTTACAAAAAAGGTTTATATGAACGTCTTTATTCTGTTTACAATGTATTTAAGGCTTTATCCTTAAGAAATTTTCTTTTAATTTAAAATTGATGATCAAAGATGGCTGATTGCTTAAATATGCATGGCGTCATTTTATGACGTAACCGGTGATGCTATGGGCAACATAAGACTTAGTACACCCTAATATTTTGTCATAAACACTTTTGGTAAAGTTATGTACCATTTAGTTTTCAGGGAATAATCTATCTAGACGGTTTTGGCCAATAAAATCACATTAATGACGTCATAACGACGTCACATTACCTTATAACGTAATAAAATTGTAGTTATGAAAATGTTTTACTTGTACACCATCTGAAAATTTCGGTGGTCATACAACATACCGTTCGCGAGTTCTGAGGGGGTCGAATGAGCCCTCTCGATCCCACCAAGCCAAAAAAGCCTGGTCTAGATAGGGTTAAAAGACCAATCTATTTAGACTGTTTTGGCTGTTAGCCTATATACGACATATTACGTCATAACGACATCAAAAATTATTGTTATGATTTATTTGTCCTTGCACACTATTTTCTGTAAATTTGGCGGTCAAACAATATACCCTTTATGAGTCTTATATACCCTTTACGACTCCCAAAAAAGCCCAATCTAGATGGGGTTGAAACATTTTCTGTTTATCGCAGACCACAGAAAGTGCATAGCACCTAGATATTCCGTACTATTAATTAATACTGATGTTATGTGTAGCAGGGTAACGTAATTTTCAGACTCTTTGTTTTATTGATAATGTGTATCAATAACCATCCAATGAATTTATTTCCCAGGCTAGCCCTTGATAATAGCTAGTTAGACGCGTTAACACTAGTTGTATTTGCCAAATCAATGGAAAAATAGTTTTAAATGGCCAACTGATGATATATTTAAACTACAGTAACATATTATCTAACAAGAAATACATGTCCAGACTATACATGATGTAAAATGACTAATAAACTGTTAGATGTTCCACCTAGTAAGTGCCTAATACCGGCTAATATATAGTCTTCCCTTTAAGGTAGCAAGCTGCCACCGCGCCGCGTGCTTGTGAAGCTGGTGTGTCACGCCAAAGGGCGTTTATACCTGCTATACTGAAACAGACACAAACGGTCTTAGCACATATTTATATCCTATTCAAAACGTGCGGTTAAAGTTTTGTTAAAGAAAAAATACGAAGTAAATCTCATCAAATTTGAAATAAGGCTGCGAAATTAACGTTGAAAAGCCTATCTTACCTTTTTCCAACTAACTAACTTTTTACGCCGTTTATGTTAGGTCGCACCTGAAGCCGGTCATAATCGGTTACTTGATGACAGCATAGGTTGAGCCACGCTGCTGCGCCCTTATTGGGCTGGCGGATGGGGTAACACATACCTTTTAGAAACTGATGGGCAGTGACTGTGAATAGCTGGACTCGTCCATGGCCAATCAGAAAGCACAAAATAGAGACTAACGCACAACGTCTGTTTTTTTAACTGTAACTTTTATTGTGGGCAAACAGAACACTACTACGCGTTTGCTAACATTAGCGAGGTCAAAATGACCAACCAACAGAACAACGTCTTTAGTACCGGTCTTCCGTTTCTGACACTTCAATTTATCCGTCGACTTCTACCATCTGTGGTGTCGTAGAAAGGGACACTTGGCGCCTGACGGCGAGTCTGGAGGCTGTTGTTGACGTAAGGCCATGCCTGTTCAGGTTGTTCTTCACGGTATCTATCAATTTCTTCCTTGGATGTCCCCTGGCCTTGGGTCCAGTTTTTCTGCTGTTATATGCTCTTTGTGGCACTTTTTGCGGTGGCATCCTTATCAGGTGTCCAAACGACTTAATTTGTTGTTTATGAATAAACTCTCGGACTGACCTAACCCCTGCCATCTGTCCAATCGTGGTGCTTCTGATTTTGTCACGTCTGGTCCTGTTGACAAGTCGTCTCAGGCACCTCATTTCACACGTGATGATTTTTCTTTCTAAGGGTTTTTCTCAAGTCCAGGTCTGGCACTGATACGTAAGGATTGGCAGGAAGATGGAGTTGGAGAGTTTGGCGTTGGATTCCATGGGGATGCTGGGGTGCTTCAGGAGCGGCACAAGTTTGTAACTGACACTGTTTGCTTTTTGGACTCTGGTCTCTATTTCTCTATTCAGTTCTGTGAAGATATTGCCAAGGATTTGAATTCTCTGTTTTAAACCAATGTTATTAATCTCGATGTCAAGGTTTCCAGGTGTTCTGCTGATTTTTAGACTTTATGTTGTTGATACTGGTTTTCATGTCGTAGTCCTCAAAGGCAGTGTTCAAGTTTGTGGTGTGTTCTTGCAGTCTGTCTTTTTACTAATAAGGCTTTGATCATCTGCAAACAGGAGTTCGTTGAGGGCTGCTGGTTTTGGGTTTGCCTGCTTTGTTATCTTGTCTATGCGTATGATGAACAAGAGCGGCGACAGTACGCATTCCTGCTTAACCCCGACCGTAACTCAAACTAGTTTGTTATTCCGTTCGGCGTACGGACTGCACCCATGCAGTTTTTGTAGAAGGCCCTGGTGTTATCAACTAGTTGGTCACTGACATTATACTATTCTAGCACTGTTCATAACTTCTCCTGGTGAACAAACACCAGATTCCGCTCCTTGATGTATATATATATATATAGAGAGAGAGAGAGAGAGAGAAGGAGAGAGAGAGATCAAGAGACAATATATAGATATATAATATATAGATAATAAGATAATATATAAAATAACAGTTACATATATATATATATGTATATATATATAACTATAGATATTTATATGTTTAATGGTTCTTAAACTACCAAATTTCCACCTTTTAAGCCATTTGTAAACCAATATAACGTTATTAAAATAAAAAATTTAAGAATGATTAATACTCTTGTTATCAACATTTTGCTATGATTGCATGGGCTTGGGGTTCAGAACAAGGTAAGGACATCGAGCCAAAAAATTTTACCATCGTTAAGGCATTGTTTCAGGACTGTGCTGTTTTATAATGGTCATTGATATACAGATCATACAGACTCATTCCCAATCAGCAAATATTGATCAAATTATTACTAAAATTCATCCATATATAATGAGGGCTCAGGCAACCTGTAAATTATGTTATATTTGTGTGGGCCGCCTACTCTCTCATTTACACCTGCGTGAAGTGATGAAAACTGTGTAAATTTCGAATGTCACGTTTTCTGTTTTATACTAAGGCACCAACATTGCTACAATACAACTGTAGCAGATGATGTTCCTTTGGAACTGACACGTAAATTATTTTCAGAACCACAGTTTGGGAAGAAATGGATGCAACTTTTCCCAACCGAAAAAGCCTTTTTCTAAATCTAGTACTGTTCGCAGCAGGAAGGTAAGACTTTTAGTTTTGAAATATACCTAACATGGTTTATATATATATAAATAAATGTCCGTAAGTTTTTTACTTTCCTCGCCTTTTAATGTTTTGCAAAACTGACCTTTAACTGTCCTACAATTGACCACAATGGAATAGGTAAAATTCTTTTGAATGAAGAAAGGTGGGTTTTGAACGAAGACAAATGGGTTTGAACGTTGAGAAATGGGGGTTTGAACGAACGGAAATGGGTTTTGAACGACGAGAAAAAAGACTTATGAACGTTGAAAAATGGGTTTTGAACGTTGAGAACGGAGTTTTAAACGAAGAGAAATGAGAATGATGAGAACTAACCCATTGAAACATTGTTGAATGTTACTTTGTTCTTTCGTAAAAAGGATTACGAAAAGCTTCTGCTACATTTCTGGGAAACACCAAAAACTATCACTAAATGGACACTTTATGGAAAACATGACGCTCCTTAACACCAAACTAACACAGTGAATCTAATACAGATTTAAACGTGTTATTAGGGCTAAGATGGAGTCTTATCATCATTGAAACTCTCCAGTGTTACCAAATATACCTTTGTGAAAAGATCTTTTAGCGCAGTACAAAAACCTATACTGTATTTATAATCATAAGAAATTTGCAAAAGCAATGTAAACCATTTATACGTCATTTATTAATGCTAACATTATTTGGCAAAGGTACGGGGTTGTGCAACTACCGTTAACTTCATTTTTCTTTTCAGTTTCTGTGGATATTTGTTGAATTCGCATTTGGACACAGTCTATATTAGAGAACAGAACAGTTATCATGCAGCCGGTGCTTTTGAAGTCAGCTCCCTTATGCGTCCTTTGGGAAAGACTCAATCTCATCTCGTTAAGTATGATCCAACCATTTGTAAGTAAGTATGTAAAACAATTTTAGTTTATTGTTTTGGTACAATCTGGAATATTTTTTCACTACGATGATAAACTTAAGAAATAGGTTAAGAGATTGTAAAATAGTTTTGTATAGGAAATATACACCCCATTTGCAGAAAAATGTAACGCAATCTAAAAAAAACCGCGCCATAAAGAATTAAACGTTCTCCCAACCATACTAACCACAATTGCTCAAAACAAGTAACAGAAAAGAAAACAGATATGCTATTTGTTGAGAGAATTTGAGCTACGATAAGGTTTGATTGCCCTCGAAGAGATAAAATAATTACATTTCTTTCTCGTATGCCGAAAGACTAAAAGACTACCAGCGTGAATTAAGAGCCAAAAGATAAAAAGGAGTAGATATAGAAGCGGTTAGACACAGGAACCTGCACAGAAACCTGCCATACTTGGCGAAATTTCCATTTGGAATCCCGCATCATGTTGAAACCGCATCCTCTATTGGGCCAAGGCCACTATGTAACTTTGCATGGCCTCTTAGAAATAACTATACTTACTGTTCTAGTACAATTTACCTTTACATAAGGCCAGAAGCAAGTACAATAAAGGCGATTCGAATAATAGTCACCAGTGCAATCGACGCTCTTCGATTAGTATTATGTATTTATTTTGATGCTGTTACAAAACTGATGACAGACTGTCTAGTGTCCCTTTCGCCAGAAAAAAAACCTAATAAATAATGCGATCACGAGCTATGTGATTGATTATTGTACGATCGAAGAAATATCTTCCTTATATTTCAGTAAACTTAAGCAGATTCCTTGTTCTGAGTGCAAAGCGGCTAAACTATCCATTTCAGCAGCAGACCAGAAAAGAAGAGAGGCAAGTTTAAAAAGATACGAAAGAAGGTAATTTTACCTCTTATAGCAAAATGACATTATTAGCAAAACCTAGAAAAATTGTGCCATTTTGAATTTTAAAGCACACTTCTAGATTCAGCATTGAAATTAGCCCTTTTTAATTACGAAAAACAATATATTGATAAGAAAAATGGCACTTTTTTCTTCTAGTTTACTACTACTTGCTTGAAAGGTTTTTAAAACATTGCCTAATAAATAAACAGGTTAATAAATCAATAAGTAACTATAGCAATAAGACAACTAATATCTATAATCGTATTGCAATTATTTGCCCTATTGATTTTTGACAAAATAATCCGTGTCAAATTATCTCTATCGTGAGGTATGTTGCACATGGTATTGAGAACTGGAAAGGTAATTTTAATCTTTAAAAAAAGGTCGAAGCACACGATATATGTATTTGATTTTTTTTTGTAGATCAAGTTGTATAGTAAGCTAAAGCTTGTGTAACCTCTGCCACCATCGCTGTTAATACTATCCGTAGCAGACCCTTAAGGAAATATTGATATCTATATATGGTCAAAAGGACATGCTTCAAGGAACATATTTTACGTCTATTAAAGGCGAATCAACATATTCCACGGACGTAACCAAGTAAACGGGTCATCACCGATAAGTTATCCGGCACATGGCGTTTCTGTCATACCGATGCGTTCTGTGTGGCTAAAAGGTAAGCTGATATTACCGCTTACATATTACCTACTCTGAAACAGGAATTCTAACATAAAATTAAACGCTGGTAAAATTTCGAAATGATATTAATGATTTTTCCTCACTTAATGTTAACAGTTTTATGTGTCAAAGTCAAAGTCTAAACAACATGTTTCTATTTAGGGTTACAAGTTGAGTGGTTCAGTCTTTACAATATACGGAGCAACATAAAATTAAAGGTAATCTGTGAAAATGTTTCTGTATATAGTTAGCTAGCTCTGGTTGTTTACTATGTTTTTATGTCAAGCAAAGTGAACTGTTACGACAGAATCATTTACATTAACCCTACCTAGACCGGGGGCGGCTAAAAGTGCCCGCGGCAACTTTGATGTCACCTAGCGTCTGAACGGCTAGCCGTAGAACGACCAAACTTAGTGACTTTTCCTAAAATATTGTTGGCAACAATTCTCTATCATTGGAATAAGATAATAATTTTTGTGTTGCCATGGCAACGGGTTTCTGACAGGCATTTTTTGCTAAATTTAGTACTTTTTGTTTCAACAATAGAATTTTATGGGTTTTATGTCAAGTTACTCATGGTTTCTAATATTGATAACATCCCATATAATTTTATGTAAATTTTATCATTAAATATGCATAATTTATGCTAATTTGATGACGTCATTGGCCAAAATCCAAGATGGCGGACCATATCATTAGAACAGGTATATGCGGGTTATTTTCGTTAAAATTTCATCAATACTTCCATTTCTTTTCACAAAAAAGGTTTGAATGAAGGTGTTTAGTATGTTTACAATGTATTTTAGGCTTTATCATGAAAAAAAACTATTTTTGAAAATTCAAGATTGATGATCCAAGATGGCGGATATCTTAAATATGCATGACGTCATTTTATGACGTCACCGGTGTTGCTATGGGCAACATAAGACTCAGTACACACTAATATTCTGTCATAAACTCTTTTGGTAAAGTTATGTTGTATACCAGGGAGGTTTTCAGGGAAAAACCTATTTAGACGGTTTTGGCCAATAAAATCACATTAATGACGTCATAATGACGTCATATTACGTCAAAACGACATAAAAATTGTAGATATGATAAATTTTCACTAGTACACCATTCTCTGAAAATTTGGTGGTCATACGACATACCATTCGCGAGTTCTTAGGGGGGGTCAAAGAGCCCCCCCGGTCCCCCCATG